GCTGTGCTTAGGGAAAAAACCAGAGATTTCTTATATTGGTTTAAAAAACCCTTTCTGACCTGACCTTCTGGCAACCTTGGGGACTTCATTTCATACTACCTCTCCTTGTCCCCCTGCACTCCAGACACTACGCTGGCATTCTTTCAGTTCCGTGAACATGCCAAGCTCGTTTCTGCTTTATGACTTCTTATCTTTTTTTTCTTAGCTGTTTCCTGAGCCAGACATGCAAAGAGGCATTAAGCAGTGACTATCTTGGCCAAGACATTCTGGCATCAGGGGAAATGGAGGTGGAGACACACTTAGAAAATGATGGAATGGCTTCCGGGTAAAAACAAACAAAAACAAGAAACAAACAAAAAACACATCTGTTCCCTTTAAGAACCACAAAGGACAACACAGGAATGATTGTGCTTTAGGCACTGAGGTAGAGTATCCATTTGCTTTGCGATACCTGCCTTCCCCTTTAGAGCAGCGGTCCCCAACCATTTTGGCACCAGGGATGGGCTTTGTGGAAGACAATTTTTTCATGGATTGGGTGGGGGTGGTCTGGGGATGAAACTGAAACTGTTTCACCTGAGATCATCAGGCTTTAGTTAGATTCTCATAAGGAGCGCCGCCCACCTACATGCGCAGTTCACTTTAGGGCTCCGGCTCCTGTGAGAATCTCATGCCACCGCTGATCTGACAGTAGGTGGGAGCTCAGGTTATGGTAATGCTCACTCACTGGCCACTCACCTCCTGCTGTGTGGCCCAGTTCCTAACAGGCCACGGACTAGTCCCAGTCTACAGCTGGAGGTTGGGGACTCCTGCTTTCACAGCACCCTAACTTTCTGAAGGGAAAGGACAATGCATGTTTGTAGCTCAACAAATGAGGCTGTACCAGAGAGGCTTCCAAACCCCTTCATCACCTGAGGACCTTACAGAAAGAGAGGTTCTTGACTCAAGTAAAATGTGAAAAAAGTTATCACACTTCTGATTCGAATGGAAATTTGAATACTTACTGAATATTTAATCACATTAATCATTTGTTGCTGCTTAGGAATCATAAAGGCATTGTGGTGAAGTCTTTAAAAGTTTTAATCTTTTAGTAATCTATATGAAAATATTAGGGATTAAATTATATCTGAGATTTACTTCAACATAATACTAGAGACTGAAAAATGTCAGAAGAGGTGCATTTTTTTTTACAGGTTTCATCTGAATACATATTTATCAGATCAATATTATAGGTTATCACATTATCTACTACATACAGCTTTGCAAGACAGAAATCACAGTTTTCTAACCAAAGTATGAAATGATTGCATTGTATATACAATGTACAAGCACAATGATAGTTTCTGGGTGATTTACTTCTAGCTGCACTTGTGGGTGTGTTTATGTGTGTCCATGTGAATCACCTGAGATGATACCAAAAATTTGTAAGTATAAATTCAGTTATAATTTTCTTTTGAAATCCCTGTTTCTTTTCTTATCTTCACAGCACCCTAAAAAAAAGTAACAAAAATTTCATTCCACAAAGGGTCAGAGTCAACATCACTGATAACAAGTATGATTGATATCACTGACCAGGGGGTTAATGGCTGGATGAGGGATTCATTATATTTTTCTGTCTTCCTCAGTATATATGTTTCAAATTTTCCATAACACAAATATTTTTTTAAAATAGAGATTTCTGGGGCCCCAGCAGATTTTTCTCTCAATGGCTCTCCACTGCTAGTACTAGGAAATTCGCCAGCAGTACTCCTCCTTACCTACCTATACTATACAATGTATGAGTACTGGGAGGCAGGGGAAAGGTCTTGTTAATCAAAGCTCCTATCCTCTAAACATAATCCTCAGGAAGAAAGTATCTGATTGGAGCCGGGCGCGGTGGCTCAAGCCTGTAATCCCAGCACTTTGGGAGGCCGAGACGGGCGGATCACGAGGTCAGGAGATCGAGACCATCCTAGCTAACACGGTGAAACCCCTTCTCTACTAAAAAAATACAAAAAAACTAGCCGGGCGAGGTGGCGGGCGCCTGTAGTCCCAGCTACTGAGGAGGCTGAGGCAGGAGAATGGCGTAAACCCGGGAGGCGGAGCTTGCAGTGAGCTGAGATCCGGCCACTGCACTCCAGCCTGGGCGACAGAGCGAGACTCCATCTCAAAAGAAAAAAAAAAAAAAAAAAAAAAAAAGTAAGTATCTGATTGGAGTAATTTATTCAAGGTATACATTTAACAGTTAATCCAAAGAAGGGATGTTTACAGTTTAATGGAATTAAAGGAAAATATAGAAAACCTGAAAGATCATTTCTTTCAGGGAGGAACTCTAGATTTTAGATAAAAGAAATCACACTTGAAATTGTACCTCTACAACAACTCTATCTTGCATCACTCGGTCCCTAGCTCAGTACATGTCACCACACTAACCCTCTGCTTTCTCAAACATGTTAAAGTTCATTTTGCCTAATGGCCTGCATTTTAGCCGTATGTTTTATTCAAGGATGCTCTTCTTCTTCTTCTTTTTTTTTTTGAGACAGGGTCTCATTTTGTAACCCAGGCTGGAGCACAGTGACATGATCATAGCTCACTGCAGCCTTGACCTCCTGGGTTCAGGTGATCCTCCCACCTCAGCCTCCCAAGTAGCTGGGACTACAGGCCTGTATCACCATGCCCAGCTAATTTTTGTATTTCTTGTAAAGATGGGGTTTTGCTATGTTGCCCAGGCTGGTCTCCAACTCCTGGGTTCAAGCTATTTGTCTGCCTCAGCCTCCCAAAGTGCTGGATTACAGGCAAAAGCCACCGTGCCTGGCACTCAAGGACTCCTTTCCCTCAGATCACTCCACGGCTGGCTCATGCACTTCATTCATATCTCTACCTCAAAGTTGCATTTTTGGGAAGGCCTTCCCTGATACTTCTACTTCAGTACACACTACTTTTGAACTTAAGCTGTTATTTCGGACTGTTATCTGACTAAATGAAACTATTTTATTTGCATACTAATTTGTCAGTCTCTCATATCAGGAATATAAAATCTCTGACTATAAAGCTCTTACACCTTTTGTTGATAGATGCATCCTGACCTCCTATCACAGGGTGTGGCTAAAATAGGGACTTCAAATAGGTATTCAAAACCTGAATACCTATTTCTGAATACCTGAAATATGTACATTTGGAAGGGTGCTTTCCTGTGTCCCTACATAATGTTGCAGGTTGTAAACACAAATGCTACAGGGCTCAGATGGGTACTAAAGATAAAGAAAAACTAGATATTACTTGAACTGATGTAAAGGAGGCAGATGCTTTTCAGCTTGAACCATTGTTGCCAGGCTACAACACAGATCTAATGTAGTCAGATCTTCCCATTAATTCATGGGATGCCACAGATCCTTTTTTTTTTTTTTTTTTTTTAAATTCTTTCAATTTTAGCCATTAGCAACCAATTTGAAAAAAAAAGTAGTGCCGGGCGCGGTGGCTCACGCCTGTAATCCCAGCACTTTGGGAGGCCGAGGCGGGTGGATCACAAGGTCAGGAGATCGAGACCATGGTGAAACCCCGTCTCTACTAAAAATACAAAAAATGAGCCGGGCGTGGTGGCGGGCGCCTGTAGTTCCAGCTACTCGGGAGGCTGAGGCAGGAGAATGGCGTGAACCCAGGAGGCGGAGCTTGCAGTGAGCCAGGATCGTGCCACTGCACTCCAGCTTGGGCGACAGAGCGAGACTCCGTCTCAAAAAAAAAAAAAAGAAAAAAAAAGTAGCATGTGAATCACCAGTTGCAAGCTCTGTTCATACAAATAAGACAATTTGAGATTAATTAAAAGGAGAAACTGGGAAAAGATATTGAGAAGACTGTACAGTAGTGTTTGTAACGGTAAAAAATGGGAATCAACCTAAACATCCATCACTATTGGAATTCCCAAATAATTTGTGGCAAATCTATTTGATAAAGTCTAGCTATATTTATCAATGTGGACAGCTCTCAAAAACACATAATTTGGTGAAATAATCAAGTTGCAGATCAATACACAAAATATAATAGCATTCATATAAAACTTCAAATACCCCAAACCATTCTACATATTGTTTATAATACATAGTAATAGTTTAAGTATAGAAACCTAGATTGGCAAGATACATATCAAATTCATGATCCTGGTTGCCTCCCTGAGGGTGGCAGTAGAGTGGAACTGAGAATAGGGGACATCTGCTTTATCTGTAATGCTCTGTTTCTTTCATTCATAAATCTGTTCGTTCTGGATAGTGGGTGCGTTAAGTGTTTACTCTGTGCTTTTCTTTTAAAAACATTTCAGAATTTTTTTTTTTTTTTAAATGGCGGGTGGTGGAAGAACATCCTATCCTAGAAGCCAGGAGACTGGGGTTGTCTTTGCTCCGCCTTTTCTGGCATGGATACAATCTCTAGATATGGTTTCCCCATTAGCTAATGCGGGGGTGGTATGTGGTGTTCCTCCAGAGTCCCTTCAATCTAAGGACCTGTGAATCTAAAACCTTCCCACCTCCCACTCCCACACCGGAAAGGCTACCCAGACCAGGCAATGAAACGTGCATTTCTTCCCTCATTTAAGATAGATCTCTTTCTCTCAGCCTGCAAGTCGTTCTCCAGAAGCTTTAAGTATAGTGGAAGTAGAACTGTCGTTGGCGACAGAGAGACACCTGCAACAATTAGCCTTTCTGAGCCTCAAATTCCCCATTTGTAAAACGGAGATTATAACTCGTACCCATAAAACTGTAGAGAGGTTTAGATATAACGTTATGTGTAGGGCCCGAACAGAATAGCTATTAATAGTGGTAACAGACTCTCGTTTACGGGCTCAGCATCATGGTCGCTGAACAGAATCACCCTCTTCACACCGCCTTCCAGCCAAAGTTAGTTTAGCCGCGAGAAGTCCGGGCAACCAATCGGAAACAAGCAAGGAACAGTTGCACTGCGACACTCTGGTTCCGCCTTCGGGCGTGCTCGAACAGCATTCTGGGAATTGTAGTTCTTAGGGATCTGACACTCACCAAAGGGCTGAGTAGCTTCCGGGAAAGGTACTGCATTGCCCGTTTCTACTTCCACTGCACCTGCTTATTGCGTCTTGCTCCTGGGTCACAGAGCCTAAAACGACACGCCCAACCATAGGTCTTCCTTTCCACGCCCGCTGGAGTTACAGCTAAAGGCAGGACACGCGAAACAATGAAATGCCGAGGGCGGAGACAAGAGTGACACTGGGGGAGCAGGAAAAGGCGGGGCTTCCGCTTGGGGCATGGAGGCCGTGCCTCCACGTCACTTCCGTAAACAAAGGCAGCTGCCGAGGCGCGGGTCCCGGGATGTGACCGGGGCTGTGTTTGTGGCTGCGGCGGTGGCTTCTGAGGCTGTCGGGTCTTTGCGGGTTGCGGAAGGGGGTCCCAATACCCTTCTTCAGGTATGTAGTGGAAGCAGAGGAACCTCCGCAACCTGCCCCTTTAGGCCTTTCCCACCACTCTGGTCACTGCTGGGTACTGGGCGGTGAAGGGTCATCGCTTCGGCAGATTGGGGAAGGGGAGTGAGGTGATGTCAAGAGGGACCTCCAGGGATACTGCTTGGAGGCGAGACTTGGCACTTAAAACCACTGTGTGAATAACTATGAGCAGTTTACTTATGCGTTCTCTAAAACATTCGTTGCTGTTTGATATACAAGAAGGGTTTCAGTGCTCTTGTGACAGATGTGACTTTCCAAAAACGAGGAAATCGCGAGTGCTGGCTCCCAGAATATTGTGGTTTAGACCACCATTGGTTTATTTGCATTGCTTTACTTCCTAGATTTTTTTTTCTCTTGTACCACCAAATGCGTATTAGCATCGTGAAATTTCAGGCCAGCGTGTTTATGCGTATCATAAATTTTTACAGATTCTTGCCTCTTCAGAGAACTAATATCCCATCGTCTCTATTCAGTCATCTTTCAGACTTTCATTTGTGTTGCGTGTTGAAACAACACCAGAATTACTATTGTTACCAAAATTATTCTTAAAAGAAAAATTGTTAGCCAAGGTTTAAGTGGATTGATACCCAATGGTATCTGGGATTAGAGACTGGGCACTGGAGCCTTTCCCAGAAAGCCTCTTCTTTGGAAGTATTGTAGCTCCAGTTGTGATTGTCTAGCGTCAGCCAATTTAAGCTGAGTGGTTTAAATTCCAGTGCCAGTGGCACTAAGTCCAGGCAAAAGAAAAAAAAATTTCATTGAATTTCTCAAATAATTATTTTAAGCGACAGCAATGGGTTCGAATCTTTTCGAATGGTCATGGCATGCTTAAACACAACATGCAAAAAACGGCCTAATGTTTCTAGAAGGCAATTTACAACCTGATGAGGTAGATAGCCATATAAATTCTTTATCTTACGTTACATGAAATAATGAAGTTAAGAAAAATTTAACACTATGCGCAAATAAAATATGGAAAGGTTTTCTTGTTTTTTATTGTTTTGTTTTGAGAAGGAGTCTCGCTCTGTCGCAGTGGCGTGATCTCGGCTCACTGCAAGCTCCGCCCGCCGGGTTCACGCCATTCTCCTGCCTCAGCCTCCTGAATGGCTGGGACTACAGGCCTCCGCCACCACGCCGGGCTAATTTTTTTGTGTTTTTAGTGGAGACGGGGTTTCACCGTGTTAGCCAGGATGGTCTCGATCTCTTGACCTTGTCATCCGCCCGCCTTGGCCTTCCAAAGTGTTGGGATTACAGGCAGGAGCCACCGCGCCCGGCCGGAAGGGTATTTTTAAATAGATAGATGTTAGAAAATAGAGCGGATTAATACATAAAGTAAGGGGATTGTGTAGGGATAACTAGGAGGCCTTACACATATTCCCCATGGAAGGGCCCTCTTTAACTTCACATTGTTAACTTTTTTTGATACGGGTAAAACCAAATATATATCATAAAATTCATGTTTGTTTGGAAATGGTTAGAGAAAGTATATTCAAAATAGGCAACAAACAAGTTTGATTTTCTAGAACTTGCCTTGATCACCATGCTAGAATCATTATTAGCCCTAGCTAGAAACTGATTTCTGTTTAGTAGTTTGAAGTAAGGCTTCTATTTGATTTTTTAAATGCTGATTAAAATCCCCCTGACAATTATACATCTGTTTGAATCTAGTTGGTTCTTCTTGAGCATACATTTTGGAAGAGAGACCTAAAGGCCACCTGAAGCTTGAATCAGGCTGGGAATATTATGTGGATCATTTGTTTATTGTTTATATATTGTTCCCCTTGTAAAATGTAGGCTTCTTGAGGGCAAACATCTTGTTTTGTTCAGTGCCGTCTCCCCAGTGCCCACAATAGTGTCTGGCTTGTGGAAGAGAATCAGTAAATATTTGTAGGATGAGGGAATAAAGAAAATGGTAAAAAAACAAAACAACAACAACAAAACTGTCTACCAGACAATTTTGCTAGGGGCTTATGGGTACATAGTAGAGTAGATTAAACTTAAGAGACCCATTTTCTAACTTTCTCTTATGCCCTCTGGAATTCTTGATCCTCCTTTGACCTGTGAAATGGGTCTTTGAATTTCTTTCATGTTTGCATATTATAGCATACATATATAATTGTATTATTTCCTTATTTAGGTCTTAAGAAGCTGGCCGTGGTGCAATAAGGAACTTAAAACAATGGAAGAGCGGAAAGTGAAGAGGAGGAGTCCTAAGTCTTTTAGTGCCCACTGTACTCAGGTTGTCAATGCCAAAAAAAATGCCATTCCAGTGAGTAAAAGCACAGGGTTTTCAAATCCTGCATCACAGTCAACTTCACAGCGACCAAAGTTAAAAAGGTGAATTCTTTTATTTTACATGTTCACAGTAAAATGCCATTGAAGTAAGTCCTGACTCAACTTCTTCTTAAAACACTTTTTTAGTCTTGAGGGGCTGTGACTGCAGGTGTGTGCCACCACACCCAGCTTGCAGTTTTTATTTCTAAAAAATAATGATGTCATTGTTTTTGTATAAATAATTTGTGTTTTTTATAAAAATTCAAACACAGGAAGAATTCAAAGAAGAAATTCAAAATGCGAAAATTCTACCACCTAGAAAGTCATTATTAATATTTGGTGAACATCATTTGCATTCAGGATATTTAAAGGAAACAAGTGACAAGTTTAACTATGTTATATGTTACTATTACATGTATGTGAGTATTTTATAGTATTAGATATTTGGAAGGGAAGATTATAGCTTTAGAGAAAAAAAGTGTTGTGTAATGTCAATCTTCTTTCTAATTATTAAATAAATTTACACTCACATCCAGTCTCACCCTGGCAAGTTAGCTAAGGAAATGCCTGTTGCATTCTGTAGCCACTGGGTTTACACGTAATAAGAGATGAGATTACTGCCTTGATGAAGATCTCTCTTTATGGAAACAAAAGGGACATAGCCAAAGACAAGAGAACATTTGAAAGAAGTATTCCAATGAGTACCAAATGATAAACAGGAGTTTTGAGTTTTGAGGATTTCCTTCAAATAAATTATCAGAATGGGGTTTTTGTCGTGGAGGAGTTTAATTAGGGTCAGATTTTGAATAACTTTACAGTTGGTGGAAAAAGAAAACCAAGAGATTTTAAAAGTAATCAGTCCTTTTGCTATATTTTTAAAAGCAGTTTGTTTGTATCATTGTCATTTTTACTGGTAGTTTTATTTCCATACGCTCTTGTAGATGTCGGCTTCTGAGAGCCGGGACTATCTGGATCGTCATTGTGTGCCTGACAGTACTTACAGTACGCCTTTGCACATAGTATTATTTCACTGTGTGCTTTCTTTATTGTTGAATTATGTTAACATAAAGTGAGAGTGTGAAATAACATTGAAGCAGGAATAAACAGGTTTTTGTTTTATCTTTTGTGTTTGTTTTCTGAGAGGGTTATTAATTGATGATGTGAAACTTTACTTGGAGAAAACTTCTAAATTTGAGAGAAAAAAATACGTTTGTCATGCTGAAACCTTGTGCTCTGTAATAGTTTATCTCAGATTTAAAATGTGAATATGGATCTTTCAGGGATTTTTTTAGAATACAGATTCTGCATCAGTGTGGGATGGGGGGCTTCAGATGAGCATTTCTAAGAAGGTCACAAGTGAAATTGATTCTGTGGGCCATGGGCAGCACTTTGAGTAACAAGGTATTACATAATGTATATAATATATAAAACGCAGCCCTTGCTTTGGGAAGAACTGTTATTGACCTACTGTCCACAATGTATCTATTCTAAACTTCTTTCATATGATAGTCTGTTTCTTTTTTCCCCCCTCCCCTACCTTCCCTGGTATACCCTATTTATCTTATCGTTATTGTGGTGAGGACAGCTGTGTTGAAGGTGTCTTCATTCAACATTATGTAAAAATTGAGTACTGAATATACTTCCATATCGGGATTTGTTGTGTGCATTGGGTTATAAAGATAAATTACTCTTTCTCCCATTTTGCCTATTTAGCCGCTACTTGTTCTTTAAGTCTTTGCTCACTTATCACTTTTAGGAAGCCTTCTCTGGTTGGCCCCAGGCTGAACGAACTGCTTCTTTCTCTTCCTGTATCACAGTGTGCATAACATCATCACTCAAGCATTTGAGAGCCTGGTATATGCCAGACATGTGTAATAAGGACTGATTTAGTCTAGGGGTTCCAAAAAGGCCCTCCTGAGGAAATAGCATTTAAACTGAGACTTGAAGATGTGTGGGAGGTAGTGTGCCAAAGATGGCAGTAAGTGGAAGGATGCTAATGTAGGCAGAGGATTAGCACGTAAGAAGATAAGAGAATGGATTTCTAGGAAACTAAAGAGATTCAGTGTCTAGAGCATAGACAAGGGAGGATAGGGTTTCTTCGGGATATTAGATTATATTCAGCAGGCAATGCAAAGCTACTAAAGTTTTTTTTTTTTTTTTTTTTGGACGCGGAGTCTCGCTCTGTCACCTAGGCTGAAGTGCAGGGGTACAATCTCAGCTCACTGCAACCTCCACATCCTGGGTTCAAGGGATTCTCCTGCCTCACCCTCCTGAGTAGCTGGGACTACAGGTGTGCGCCATCACACCAGGCTAATTTTTATATTTTTAGTAGAGACAGGGTTTCGCCATGTTGGCCAGGTTGGTCTTGAACTC